AACATTTTTAATCATCGCAAAAACATCCATACCCGTTATCAGTCACTCTACATTCCTCCCTCTCCCAGTCCCCCCTCTCAGGGCCTCCCCCAATCACAATTTATCTCTACATGTTTGTCAGTTCTGGATATTTTATTTAAATTAATCATACAACACGTGATCTTTTGTGTCCAGCTTCTTTTACATAGCACAATATTTTCAAGTTTCATTTATGTTGTAGCATAAATCAGTATTTTATTACTTTCTGTGGGTTGAATGATATTTCATTTTATGCATATACCCCAGTTTGTTTATCCTTCAGTTGGTGGACATTTGAGTTGTATTCACTTTTTGGCTAACAAAAACACTGCTGTTATTAACATTTTGTGCAAGTTTTTGCAGGGACATATGTTTTCAATTCTTGTGGATATATATCTAGGAGTAGAATTGCTAGGTCACATGGAAACTCTGTGTTTAGCTTTTTGAGGAACTGACAAACTTTTCCATAGCTGCAGTATCTTTTTACATTCCCACCTGCAGAGCATGAGGGCTCCAGTTTCTACATATCGTTGCCATTGCTTGTCACTGCCCATATTTTTGACACCTACAATCTCCGTGAGTGTGAGGTAGTATGTCATTGTACCTTTGATTTGCATTTCCTTAATGCCTAATGATGTTCAACGCTTTTCATTTGCTTATTGGCCGTTTTTATTCTTCTTTAGAGAACTGTCTATTCAGATCCCCCCCCCTTTTTTTTTTATTAAGAAACTTTATTTTTTAGAACAGTTTTAGGTTCACAGCAACATTGAGTAGAAGGTATAGAGAGTTCCTCATATATCTCCAACACCTTCTCCCCGAAATCCTCCCCCAGTGTAAATATCCTGCATTAGAGTGGCACATTTGTTATAATCAATGAACGCACACTGACACATCATCACCACCTAAAATCCATAATTTACGTTAGAGTCCAGTCATATATTCTGTGGGTTTTGGCAACTGTATAATGACATGACTCTACTACTATAGTATTATACATTATAGTTTCACTGCCCTAAAAATCCTCTGTACTTCTTTTCTTCTTCTCTCCCTTCCTTTTAACCCCTAGCAACTGATGTTTTTATTGTCTCTGTAGTTTTACCTTTTCCTCAGCGTCATACAGTGCGAATCATATAGTATGTGAACTTTTCAGAATGGCTTCTTTCGCTTAGTAATGTGCATTTAAGTTTCCTCCATGTGTTTTGATGGCTTCATAGCTCACCTTTTTACACTGAATAATATTCCATTGTCTGGATGTACCACATATATTTATCCATTGTCTATCGAAGGACATCTTGATTGCTTCCAAGTCTCGGCAATTGTGAATAAGGCTTCTATAAACATCCACGCGGATATAAGTTTTCAGTTCATTTGAGTAAATACCAATGAATGTGATTACTGGATCATGTGGTAAGACTATGTTTAGTTTTGCCATCTATTGATCTTCTCTGGTGAGGTATATGCTCAGATCTTTTGCCTGTTATTTAATCAGGCTGTAATATGGCTTGGGTGTTTGGCCCCTCCAAATCTCATGTTCAAATCTGATCCTCAGTGTGGGAAGTAAGGCCTGGTGGGGGATGTTTTGGTCATGGGGGCAGATCCCTCATGAACGCCTTGGTGCCCTTCCCATGATGATAAGTTCTCACTTTATCAGTTCACGTGAGAGCTGGTTGTTTAAAGGAGCCTGGCACCACCTCCTCTCTTGCTCCTTCTATGGCCATCTGACACACCTGCTCCCCCTCTGCCTTCTGCCTTGATTGAAAGCTCCTTCAAGCCCTCACCAGAAGCAGATGCTGGTGCGATGCTTTTCTGCAGAATCGTGAGCCAAATAAACCTCTTCTCTTTGTTAATTACCCGGCCTCAGGTATTTCCTTTATGGCAATACAAAATAGACTAAGATAGGCTTTTTGTTCTCTTATTTTTGAGTTTTAAGAGTTCTTTGTATATTTTGTGTATCTATTGCAAATATTTTCTCATAGTCTTTGGCTTGTATTTTCTTAATATTGTCTTTCATTGGCCAGAAGTTTTGTCACTTATGCTTTTGATGTCATATCTAAGAAGGCTTTGACTAACCCAAGGTCATGAAAATTTATGCCTATTGTTTATTATGACAGTTTTATATTTCTAGCACATACATTTAAATCTATAATTCTCAAAAAAGTTAAGAATAGCTTTCTTAATCTCATTGTGGATTATTCATTGATAGTGTATAAAAATACTGTTTTTTTCCCCCTGAGACAGAGTCTTGCTCTGTTGCCAGGGCTAGAGTGCAGTGGCATCAGCCTAGCTCACAGCAACCTCAAACTCCTGGGCTCAAAGTAATTCTCCTGTCAGTAATTTTAATTTCCATTTTAATAATAGCTAATGAGGTTGAGCATCCTTTCATATACTTAATGTCTGGACATATTCTTTGGTGAAGTACCTATTAAGATCTATTGCCCATTTTTATTGGGCTATTCATTTTCTTATTATTGAACTTTGAGTATTGCATATATAGTGTAGATACAAGTCTTCTTTATTAATGAATATATATTAATATTTTGTAAGTATTTTCTCCTAGCCTCTAGTTTGTCTTTTTCAATTATTAGCAGTGTCTTCAGCAGAGCACTAGTTTTAAATTTTGATAAAGTCTAACTTTTTTTTGAGACAAGGTCTCTCTCTGTCACCTGAGCTAGAGTGCAGTGATGTCATCACAGCTCACTGCAGCCCTAAACTCTTGGGCTCAAGTGATCCTCCTGCCTCAGCCTCTCGAATAGCTGGGATTACAGGTACACGCCACCATGTCTGGCTAATTTTTCTACTTTTTGTAGAGATGGGGGTCTCACTCTTGCTCAGGGCTCTGGCTGGTCTCGAACTCCTGAGCTCAAGCAATCCTCCCGCTTCAGACTCCCAGAGTGCTAGGATTACAGGCGTGAGCCACCGCGCCCGACCATAAACCAAGTTTTTATTACTTTTTCAAATATTCTTTCCCCCACTTTTTGTCCTTGTCTGGAATTCTCATTATATGTCTAGTGTTAAACTTGATGGTGTCCCATAGGTCTCTGAGGCTCTGTTCATTGTTTTTTGTTCTTTCTTTTTTTTTCTTCCTGTTCTGTGTACTGAGTTATCTCAATTGACCTATCTTTAAGTTTATTCATTTTTTTTTTTTTTTTGAGACAGAGTCTTGCTCTGTTGCCCGGGCTAGAGTGCCATGGCGTCAGCCTGGCTCACAGCGACCTCAAACTCCTGGGCTCAAGCGATCCTCCTGCCTCAGCCTCCCAAGTAGCTGGGACTACAGGCATGTGCCACCATGCCCAGCTAATTTTTTATGTATGTATTTTTAGTTGTCCAGATCATTTCTTTCTATTTTTTTAGTAGAGACGGAGTCTCGCTCTTGCTCAGGCTGGTGTCGAACCCCTGACCTTGAGCGATCCACCTGCCTTGGCCTCCCAGAGTGCTAGGATTACAGGCGTGAGCCACCGTGCCCGGCCCTATTCATTTTTTCTTCTCTGCTGAAATCTACTCTTGAGCCCCTAGAAATGAATTTTTTTCATTTCAGTTATGTTACTTTTTGGCTGCAGAAATTTCAGTTGGTTCTTTTCATATTATTTCCATCGTTTTATTAATATTCGCTATTTCATGAGACATTGTTCTCAGTCTTTAGATTTTTAGACATAGATTCCTCAGCGTCAGTTTCTATTGATTACATTTTTTCTGGAAATGAGACATAGAGAAAATGGTAATAATGTTCTTGGCATATAATCTGTTTCAGACAAATGCCTGAACATGTTTTATTGTGTTTGTGCTTAACTGCGATAGCTTTTCATTTGAAGGCGTGGCTACTGTTGCTTGCCTTGTCTCCATTTATCTTAGCCTGAGAGTAAATACTCAGGCTCAGTAAGCCCATAGATTTGAAGGTGGAGGATGAGGATGAAACTAGGAGCAAAAGAAGAAATAGGAAAGGGAACCAAAGTAATCAACAAGGTTGAACTTTTCCTATAAGACAGGTTAGCTTAGTTGGTGCGAGCAGTGCTACTCAAACTTTAAAGAGCGCATACATGCCTATCACTTGTATAAAAATGCAATTTCTGATTTATTATGTCTAGGATGGGGCCTACAAATGTACATTTCCTTCAAACTCCCATGTAATGATCATGCTGCTGGCCCGAGAACCACTCTTAGAGTAGCAAGGGTCACAAGAGTCTGGCCGGATCTCTTGGGGAAGGACATCTTTTAAAAATTTTAATGAAGATAACTTATCAAAAGTGTAGCTCAAAGTGACTTAATTTTATACCATCATTAAATTTTATATACTAAAACTGAAAATCACTGACCAAAAATCAAAGCATTTGTCTAGCCATGCTACACTCATTTTTTTCATTCATTGCTTTCTTAGGTCTCTTCATAAATACTCTGTGAACAAGTTAAATCTCTTCCTTTGGCCAAAGGTTGACATGCTGCCATCTGGTTAAGATGTAGAATGTCCAGGTTGTATCTGTGTTGTCATGGAAAGGGCCTTGCAGAAGCCACTTGGTTTCTATTTCCTCCTTTGCCAGCTACCTCTGGAACTTGAGCTCCACATTTATAAAATGGAGCTAATTCTTTCTTTGTGTAATGATTGCGGATATGTTTTTGGTGAGAAAGCATGTAGTATATTGCCCATAATGAGGGCTCAGTAAATGCTTAAGGAGACCCTCTTAAGAGTGCAACTAAGTCATTTCAGAGTTTCCAGGCTTTGTAGAACAGGTCAGAAAGGAGAGGGATTGAGGATAAAAACATGTCCCATAACTTGTAAGAAGGACATCACTAAACTTTAACTTGTGATTTTAATTCAAACTTTTTTTTTTTACTGAAAGTCTGATATTTTGTTTAACTTCATTAAATGCAAGCTGCTACCTGCTGCGAGCAATTCTGTTTGCTCTTCTCCTATCTACTGTAACAGATGGGAGGAAATAGGTCAAAGGCTAGCAGTGTTGACCACTTCTCTTGTTCCCCTTCCTTTACAGATTACTCCTCTGCTGTTCAGAAATTTTCCCAGACACTGCAGTCATTTCAGTTCGATTTCATTGGAGACACTCTGACTGATGATGAGATTAACATCGGTAAGTCTATTTATATGTGGCCAAGTGCCTCTCGAGGCAGGCCTGAGACCACGTAGCCTTTTTGGTTTGTGGGTACAGAGCATCTGGACATCTTCATCCCCCATAGTCCAGTGCCAAGCCCCCGGGAGGCTGCTTAGGAAGGATAAGGAAACATGGCCTGTCAGTCCCATTTCCCCCTCACACAAGAGCAATCAATAGTTTATCCCTTAAACTTCCACTGAGGCCTTTGACTCAGTCAGTCTGCTGGGGAACTTTTCATTAAAGCATCTAATACATGAAAATAGATTTTTTTTTGGTTTATTTTGCAAAATGATTTTGCAGTAAGATTCTTCTAAGGAACAAATTCCCCTAGAAGGTTTAAAGTTAACATTTATATGTATAACTTTTTAGATAATAGGTTTGCCTTCTCCTTTGGGAATTGGACTTAACAACTCACTCTTAGCTGTGTAATCTTGGACAAGATATTTTCCCTCTCTGTGCTCAGTCTTGTCCTCTGTAAAATGGGGTAAATGGGGTAACTGTCTCTCTGTAAAGGATGTTGTTAATATAAAAGGAATGTTGAACAGTGGAAGTAAAAAGAACTTTGTGTTTGTATTAGTTGTTATGATGTTAAAGCAGGGGTTGACAAACTGTGGCCCTTGAGTCAATTCCAGACCACCACCTGTTTTTGTACATAAAGTTTTATTGGTACATAGCTACTCTTATTCATTTAAGTATTGTCTATGGATGGTTCTGTGGCACAACAGCAACATTGAATAATAGTGACAGAAACTGGATGGCCCTCAAAGCCTAAAATATATACCGTCAGGCTGTTGAAGGAAAAGTTTGCTGACTCTTGAGTTAAAGAGTTAGTTTAAAGCATTTGCTGGATGAGAACATTGAATTACATAACTATTAGAGCATATTACATATGCTCTAATGTTACTGGAACAAGTTTGGTAACACATTTATGTTTATAAGCCCCAGAACTAAATTACAACAATGTATTATTACTAACGGTGGCTATCGTAGCATATTTGAATAATGCATAAAAGTATAAAATTACCTGTGCTAATAAGATATTTCTGAACACAAGAAGTATATTGGACATACTGGTATATTATCTTTTAAGTCTTTTCCTCTACATGTACCTATTTTCCTTTGTATACAGTTTAGTTCATACTAAATACATAATTTCTTTTTTTTAGCCTAAGATTTTATCATGTACATTTTCCATGTCATTTGAAATTCTTTTCATGGGGGTAATGGGAGGGCATTGTTTTATCCACTACTGTTTCCCCAGCACATAAAGGAATGCCTGGTATATAGTAGATGTTTACTATATTTTGCTAAATCAATGAATAATGGATGCATTTGAATTTCATTATTGTAGGAGCTATATGTTATTTAATACTTAATGATCTTTGGAAATTTAGCTTATTTCCAGTTTTTCACTATTGTAAATACTACTGTAATGAGTATTTTTATGAGATTAAGATTGATGAGTGTTTTGGGTAAATGTCTGTAACTAATGAGGCAGATATTTGTGTTTTGATTATTTCTTTATTTACTCAATTTCATTTGACTCTGGCAAATCTATCCTGGTCCAAATGCATGCTAAAAGTTAACATGCTCTGGAATGAAATAGCCCAAGTTTGAACCCTACCTCTATAGCTTAGTAGCTCTGTAACCTTGGCCAGTGACTTCACCTCTCTCGTTATTTTTCTCATCTTGTAAAATAGAGGTTAGATAATTGATGCCCAGTGTGCACAGTGTCTAAATAAATGTTACTTATTTCAACATTGTTAATTTAAGCTTTCATTTCTTTGTACTTCTTTCTTGAAATAACTGCTACCTGCCGATTAACACATTGCCTGCCATGTGAGTTGTATTTAACTCAGGCTAGTTTTGAGCCCAGGGCCTTGTGAAGAAAAACTCTGCAGTTGGTTCATGAAAATCTTACTTGTTGATGTTCTTATTGTTACAATTAATATCGACAATTTAATTCTAAAAATGTGGATTGTGTTGCATCTAACTCACACACAGAAAAGAATAAAAAATAACAAATTACAAAGGATTGTTTTGCTTTAATAAAACACTGTGGCCCCAGGGAAAAGTTTTTTTTTTTTTTTTCTAGTGTGGCAGTCACTGTGTTGTTAATTGATGACTTTGAAGATGTGGAAATAAATGGCACATGGAATTTCATAAATGCTTTCTTTTTCTGCTAGAAGGGTCTGAGTTTGAACAGGTTCCATTTGCCCCAAAGCCAACCAACAGAGCTGAGACCTTTCCCATATCATCCTTTATGTTGAGCTTTGTGCTTCAGCTTTCTTACCCCATAAACTTCACCACAAATGTCAACTAGTGCTATGCATGGAAATGAGGGTGTGTGAGCTTGAGCATAATGATTTACAAAGAAAAATAAAAATGACTCCCTGGTGCTGCCAGGTTCCTGTGGGTGGCTGGGCTCCATGAGAGCTGCTGGCTGTGACATCGTTGCTTCTTAATGTATGATTTACAATAACTCTTTTAACTCAGTGACCATTTGCCTGCCAACTTCAGAAGCTCCTAGTTATCATTTGTCCATTGTTTTGAGGGATGCCGACTCAATGAAGTGACTTTTATTAATGGAGACTGAAGAGACGTTTTGAAAATTCATTGGCCTGTCATGGTCATTGTCCTTGTTGAATCTGTCATTTTGAAAGCCGAGATTTATAGTGGTAATGAGAGGAAGAGCCAGTGCTCCAACAGCTGAGGCTGAGGTTCTTTGGAGGCTTTGAGAAAAACTCTTGGGGACCCTACTGGGAAGCTATTGTTGGAAAGAGCAACAGCTTTGGAAGCTGAGACAGCTGAGTGTGCCATGCCCTCCAATTGCCAATACTACTGGCTCTGAATCAGTACGTCTTCTGTTTCATTGGAAAAAATGGTAAAAGTACAGTTAGGATGGAATTTTCGGTTGTGCTTTTTTTGGATTTCATATTACATGTGCAGAGGGCTTTTCCGTAATGGATTTTTCATTATGGCTCCAAGAAATAACTCAGCATTAACCCCACTGTAGGTACCAGTTATCTAGCAGAGAAGACAGTGAATGCTAGAGCATGTGCAGAAAGACTGAGGACTCTCTGAGGAGTTTCTTTCTTTGATGATCAGCTCTAGGATCTACTATGAACAGTCTGTACAGTGGGGACAAGTGGGAGGGGGTATCTTCCTGACCCAACCACGACATTTGTCGCTGCTTCAGAGCAAGATATCTATGCCTTCAATTTGCATTGCCTGGGCTTTTCCCTACCTCTGGTTCGGTAACCAAAGGAAATCCCAGGTGTTTAGGGAGTCTTGTGTCTGCTTCAGATTTGAGGTTTATCTTGTAGCTATGGGAGCTTGGCGAGGTTACTTGAGCTCGTTGAGCCTCTTTTCCTCATCTGTAAAGTAGAGGAAGTATAATCTACCCCAGAAGGTTGTGAGGAGGAATCAGAAAATACATATATCAGAGATTATATGTAAATGATTTAGCTCAGTGTCTGGCATTAGCTGGTGGTCAATAACTCATAATTGTTATTGATCCTCCTGGGAATGTGGCAGAAACTAATTTGTGGAAAATGGTGTTGCTTTGAAATTGTATTTCCCAAATTAACAAAAAGAAAATGTAGAATCATAAAATGTCCATGTTGGCAGGGATATTCAAGAGTACTTAGTTCATTTATTTCTCATATAGCTTCACAGCAGAGTCACCTGGGGATGTTGTTGATCCAGAGGACCCATCATAGGCCCAAAGAACCAGAATCTCTGTGGCATACAGCCCTGGGCCCTGATTTCTACATAGTTATCATAACACTGGTGAGCATTTTGAAACCCCAGGGCACATCTCAGGCTTTTTCAAACTGTGCTCCTTGGTTCATCAGTGTTTCCCATCCGGCTTCCATATGAGAATTTGCTTGAATAATGAGATTTGACGGTTAGGAGAGGAAAACGGCTGAAACTTTTAGAGTGTTACCAAATAGCAGGTATCATTCGAAGCACTTTATGTAAGTTAATGGGGGGGCTAGAGAGAAAATACTAAGCTAGTTCACTCCTCAAATTCAGCAAATGGGGAAACAGATTTGGAGGTGGATAATGAGTTTTTAATTTTCATGCAGCTAGATAGTGCCATGTTTACTCCTAGAACCTGTGTCTCATAAAGCCCAATTGATTCATTCAATAAAATTTTATTGAGCACCTGCTATCAAGCCTGTCCTCAGGGAACTTCCATTCATGTAAGTTTTAAGAACTATAGGCAAAAGACTTCTGTATCATCACACTACCAAGAGCTAGGAAGAATAATGTTTCCGTCATAGGCTTCAGAGAATTTACTTATCCCTGATATGTATGTTTGGTCATTAGTAAATAGTTACAGAGTGTCCACTAAATGCTGTAGTCTGGGCATTCAGAAACAGAAGACACATGTCCTTGCCTTCAAGGAGCTCACAGTCTGTGGAAGGAGGCAGATGAATAAACAGACAATTGCAACACAATGTGATAAGTACTATGGTAGAGGCAGGCACATAGTAGTGCCTGATTCAGATTGGGATGTGTGCGTGTCTGTTTGAGGCCAGCGTGATAGGGAGAATAAACGAGGAAGGCTTCTCAGAGTAGTGATATCTGAGTCAGGTCCAGGGCTAGGGGGAGGCAAATGAGGTGGCTAGGTCTCAGATTTAAGGAGGCACTTATGCTCAGGTTTTTGCAGGTGTGGGTTCACACCTGGAGTGAATATGTCTCCTTAAAGTTTGCAGCCCAGGTGCCTCTCTTGCCTCATCCCTGTACTGGTCCCGATCTGAGTTGAATTTCTGAAAAATGAGTGAGATCTAGGAAAAGACAGGCAGAGAAAACAAATATACAAAGGCACATGTGAGGGGAATGAGATTATTTTTCTTGAAACTGGGAGTAATTGAATGTGACCGGAAAGAGTGGAGCAGATTTAGACAGAAGCCAGGAAAGGTGTTTAAGGGCTAAATTAGAGTCTCAGGTGATGAAAAGAAGCAAAGTTA